TTTTTTTGGCGTGCGGATTTGCAACGCTTGCGCAACCATGTGTTTCCATATGTCAGTTCTTCTCGTGTAGTTTACACGCGTTTATTTCATCCTTCATATATTTCATTTTTTATTTCACTAAAACAAAATACTCCATAAAGACAGCTATGTCACTGTTTAAATCCTTTCATAAGTTTGTTGCAGAAAAAATCGCATTGGACTCAATATCGATCATATCGTCGACTCGAAGTAAAATTTTTAGTTTTTTCTGCTTATTTTTCTGTTTTCTTCAGCTTGTCGTGTGCTTATCTTATACTACAGCATCCGTAATTCTTGGTTTGAGTGGCAGAACAACACTTCACCCTGTAAAAATTTTCAGTACTTTCTTAGAGCATTTTTTCCTAAAACTCTCGACAAACTTCTTTCGCTTATAGTCTTGAGACCGTGCTAAACTAAGTCTTGCTTGCTTTTCTGAACCCGAGCGATAAAAGAAAACTACTTATTTCAGGTCGCCTTTTCAACACCAAATGTCGAGACTCCATTAACAACGATGCCATCTGCGCCGCAGACGTCGTTGCCAAAGTTGAGAGAGGAGGAACTGGATGATTTTGAGTATGAACTGCTGCGTGTAATCAACTTGGTGCATGCTGTAATTCAACGAACAGAAATGCGAACCGCCGAAAAAGATCGTCGCGATGCCGCCGTTCTTGAGTGGCAGCAGGTAAGAAAAGTTGTAATTTACCCAATTTGATAAGTTACATGTTCAGTTCACAAATTATTGCAAACTAGTCTTGCTGCGTACCTACGTGTTACTACTGGTGTCAAACCCTTTAAGGAAAAGAGCAGCACCCTTGAGTCATTGACATCCTTGATCTTGTACCATATAATAAAGGCAAATATTTCCAGCTTATCAACCAAGAACATTTTTCAGGTTGCCATGGTACTGGATCGTTTCCTGCTGCTTGTATTTCTCATAGGTACAACAATATCAACTCTGACAATTCTGTATCAGCGCGAACTCGGAATATTCGAGTAGACCCTCGATCTGCAAGGCAAAGAGCACGCTACCAATCATAGTCAGAGATTCAAGTACCGCAATGCTCAAGATCATCAACACGTAACACTTAAATCTCATATAGTTGTGAAATATCTCTTGATTCCATCAACCTTATCTATGGGTAAGCTATGCTCACGCATGGTTTATCACCACCAAAGGCTTTTGGTATGTTTATGTGTCCCTTATCTTCGCAAGTGCTAATTGGAATTTTATACGGGTATTTATACAAGTTCAATAAATAAAGATTTGATCATAAAACAGCTTATTACAAAGTGTGAAACGCTAAAATACCTCAGTTGACCAACTAATAAGACGAGAAGGCAGAGAACAGTGTCATTGTTATAAATGAGGTAGAATCAGTCGAAAAGATGCTATTGAGTAATTGAAAGGTTAGTCAGCTTTCTCAAACGCCATACATACACTATTAATACAATATCTCTCCCCAGTCTCCTCTGGACCATCATCAAATACGTGCCCAAGGTGAGCATTGCACTGAAAACAATGCTCTAGCCAGGGATTAGGACTTTCAAGAAAGTTTAGCTAACAAATCAAAGCTAGATATTAGAAAAATTACATATTGAGCATTAAATAAGTAAAAAAACTGAAGAACCGACCTTCTTGCATCGCACTTCGGTTCTTTGCCTTCCAAGCGAATTGTCCGGTAATCGCACGATATTCATGTCGTTATCCACTGATTTTGAAAAAGCAGGCCATCCACAACCAGACCAATACTTGGAGTCGGAGCTGAACTCGTCGGGAATAATTAATATAATCCGTAACAAGTTTTTTCTTACAACGCACTTGAATAACTCAGCACCACAGCAGAGACAGACATAACGTCCTTTTTCAAAAAATTTGTCGTAGGCACCAGTGAAGGGGGCTTCAGTACCTGGGAAATATATAAATTTAGAGTATACGTGGAACGACTAAATTCTAGTAGATATATCATATGGTGTAACTGCATAAAAACACTGAATCTGAATAAAAACGAAATGAACGCTTGCGATCAAGAAGACTGCACAATTTCGCATCTAGCAAATGATACATTCTGCGTCATAAGTGGCAATAGAGAAAGCTAAGGTTATAAAATCGAAACAGGATAGTAACACCTGCGTTTCTGGCAACATCGAACACTTCGGCTGGGAGAACTTTCTTCCACTCCTCCTCAGACACTTCTTTGGGATCTTTCACGCCATCGAGCTTCTTGATCCCGATGTCATTTGGACCTTTAACGGTGAGAAAGTTCACTCAGGTACCTTGCAGAAAATGGCATTTTTCTCGTACCGTATGCAAGTGCGTGTCGAGACCAGATAAGACAAGGAATTTCAAAAATATTAAAGCTTAGCTTACCAAATTTTCCCGATGACATCGTTCTTGTTCTTAGTATATTCCCAATGGCGGCAGTTGAACCCTGTTGAGAAGCTATTAGTCGACGTAAGCAAAGAGAAAACATCGAGGTACGAGTACCTCTGTAATGCTTGTTTGTTGAGTCGAGAATAACTCAAGTAAACTATGAACACTCGTGGTAAAAGTAAAGAACGTAAGTTAGAAGGGGGAATTGATGGGAGATGTGTTCAGAACAACGAGAAAAGAAATTTTAAGCTCGTTTTAAGATAGATAGCATCAATAAGTGAGAAAAATTTGAATTGAATGTAAACCACTGAACGTCTGAGAGCCGTAGCCCATTAAAAACTGGGCCAGACCTTATCAATGGGAAAATAACATGCGAAGACCAGCCCATTAAACTTGCGGTATGCAGTTCGATACGCTGCTGGAGCGCAGCCAATACTGTTGGAGCGTAGTGATCGCATCGATCAGCTGATCACCCATTCAAAAATATGTTTGTTTTCCATAATCTTATCGACTTACAGAGGCTGACGAGAATTTACGGCTACTGCGGTTTTTAAGCACTAAGGGAGAAATAAAAAAGCTTCTTGAAAAAAAAAATACTATGGCCACTAAGACTGAGCAGGAAGCGCTAAGTATTGAAGCTTGGAATTCCATAAATTCCAAATGTGATCCACTTCGCAATGATTTCAAAGACAACTATATATACATGAACAAAATGAAATCCCAAACCTCACCAAAACAACCGCAACCTTCCCAATGAAACGCAATTTGTTCATCAAAATTTGTTTTCGATAATTGACTGTCGCGCTCCAATATTGAACCGCAGCGCACCCGCTGAAGAAAAACGCGTTTTGTTGTGGCGTTGTTCTGCGTTTTACGTTTCAATTAATGATGTTATCTTTTTTATTTAAAGATTCGATAGACTTTTTTCCTTAACAAAATTATTTTGCCTTTGTAGGTATTGTGCAATCGATTTTCGCGATATTGTGAAATAGAATACAGCGGATAACTGCGACGTAAAATGACGGAGGCAACGTAGGTTTTTCACTAAAGCAATTTCAGTTTTTTTTTCGGGGCATTCTTCAGTCATAAACAGTGATCTCTCTATTTTTTAGATCATGAAAACACTAACATTTTGTTACTTATCTACAAAACATCGTTTATGTTTATTTAGGAACCTTCGTAATGAAGATTTCCGAAAACTGCTAAGTGCTCCGAAGAAAGTCGTAGCTGAATCAGCTGCTGCGGGGGAATCTTCCCATTCTTTTACGCATCGACATCAGGCAAAGTCGGATAAGAAAAGGGGAGGAGGTGGTCATAAACACAAGAAAGTTAGAAAAAACGTTTGATTTTATTTAGTACTTATTTGTGCTGTCTTTACACCTTTTTGCAGGAGAAAAGCGAATACAATGAGGAGGAAGCTAACTTGAAGGAGATCCTCAAAAACTATCGCGACCGTGCCCTTGAGCGTCGACTGAAGGGGAACGAGGTGAATTCTTCTTCAGATATCTTTTTTTTTAACATTCTTCAATTCATTATTCTACTATTTTTGCAATGATTAATCTTATAAGCTCTCTTTTCTATTCAAGGATAACGATGAGATCGTCAAACTGGCGGCTGCATATCGGGCTATGCCTGGAGATGCACG